TGCTAGTATGTTACACAGTAAAGTATAGAAACAAGTGTAAATGAAGAAGTATTTGTAACTGCTACACTGTAAAAAGTAATCACTGAATCTACTTAAGAAGAGCGAGTAAACATAACTGATTTTTACAACTGAACCTAGAATGCATTCTCTGAAAAAGCTTCTGATGTAGAAAGATGTCATTGTGGCGTGAGGGAGCATTTTTCAGTGTAATTGTTCATGATTGATCATTATTGATTTAGAAAATGGTAAATCTAGATTTACAAGGTGTCATAAAAGGGATGTTGATGTTTGGGTTTTTTTCTATTTATTTCCTGAGTGCAGTATGTGCAATTTTTCTTACAGTGTTGATTTGATAGCATGCCTAAAAAATAATGACTTGAAGTAACATTGTTTTAAACAAATAAATGCCCTATTGTTGTTCTAACAATCTGTTTTCTGTCTTTGTTATAAACAACTTTAAGTTTTGAGTACAGCTTACTTGAGAAATTTAAGGCAATCAGTTTCCACACATTTGTCTAGTAATGTGAACAAGCAGACTTGTTAAGAGAACTGTTTTGCTTGAGTTCTGTGCACTAAGCTTAACTTACATCTCTAAGTTGGATGAACTTGTCAAATTGAGTTAGCAACACTCAAGTTTTCTGGTAACCTATACATATACACAAGTTACCTATACAAAGTTACAGTAAGTTTTATTAACTCAAAAATGATAAACTAATTTGCTTGAGAAATTTGAAGCAATCAGTTTCCACAGGTTTTCCAAGTAAGTTCAACTCATTACTTTTTACAGTGTATGCTGTATTGAAAAGCCTATAACAGCTTTGGTGTTCCTGGTTTTCTGTGCTGCAGGAGTGGCGTCACGCTCACGGCATGCGCTGTTTGGGCATTCCTAACACAGCCCACTTCGCCAACGTCACCCAGATTGAGGACGCAGTGTCCCGTGAGTACAATAGTTCATCACAGATATACATGAACCACCCAATTCATGCAATGCATAGGTTGAATTAGTGTTAATACATTATTAAAAGGCATTCTTCAATCTCCAGTCATGCTGTTATTTAATTGCTAACAGGATTAACAGTTGTGTTGTAGTTTGACAATACTAGCCTTCTGCTCAAATTCAGGACACTATTAGATTTTTTTTTTTTTTCAAATATCTATTTTCAGTAATCATTTAATAAAAAAAATAACAGGGTTTATAATTGTCCCCCTGACAAATTTTAATTGTCCTTGATAAAAGAACACATTTTAATAAATGGGGAAAAAAAGACAAGATTGTTGCATGGAAACCAAACATATATCATTGAGCTTTACAAGACAAACTACCATTTTAAACCATTTAAAAGTTGAGAAAAATGCCTATAAATTAATATTGTTGCATGTTAATAAATGACACAAAAGGGTCCCGTTCTGGAAAATGGCCCTAATGGTATCTGTCCTTGTGCTTAAAATGCATTTTTCTCTTTTCTCTGGAATAGTCTGGTCAAAGCTGAAGTCACAGAAAGCATTAGAGCGCTGGCAGCCAGACACAGAGGTGAGTTCTTCTCAAACACATTCAATAGTCTGACATTACGCTGAGTGAAGACACATTCAGCTGTACAGCTCTGCTCTGACTGAAGCTTCTGCTTTAACCAGCGTTAATCAGCTGTTCAGACTCTGCTTCGGCTGCTTGATTTGTTCCTTTTGGAGAGAGATTAGTGATTAGTGAGGTTTTCAAGCGGGTAAAACCTTCAGACTGGATGTTTATGAGTTCAGAATGAAAGAAAATACAGAATTGACATAAGTATTATTGCTTTGAGTGAATTTTGTTCATAAAAAATCATAAAAAAAAAAAAAAAAAAATCAGATTTACACTGTATTCTAAAGCTGATTCCACCGTATTAAAGGTCCTCTGTGTAATGAGAACACAGTTGTATCAGATACCTTCTTAAAGATGATAAAAGTACAAACCCGTTCTGCCGTTCCGCATCTTGTCATTTTAAATGAGTTTGGATGACAAGATTCACACTTATGTTTTTAGGTACTCATGAATAATTCAAATTGTCATTTGGGTTATAGATTTTTCCATAGACAGACAGTAGTTTACCAATTTAACAGTCAATCTTAGATTAATCTAATAAAATAAGTATTTAGTCCATTATAATATTGTATAACGTTATTGTGAGGGCCAGAAATCAAGCTGTAGTTTTGTTTAAAGATTAGAAAATAGAAGA